GACACAGTTGTCGCCAAACGTGTCATTCATACGTCTCTTCACTTCGTCGACAATCACTTCGTTTGAATCGCTCTTCACTTTGACGATCAGATCAAAGCCTTTGGCGTAAAAGGACTTCAAGTGAGCCGTGAATCCGATGGCTTTGAGGACCCCTTTGGAGACAATCGCTAAACGACTGCAAAGGGCCTCACATTCAGTCATGTTATGCGAAGTCAACACAATCGACACCTTTTGGCAAACCATGAGATCTCGTAATAGACACCAAATGCTGAGTCGGGAGTCGGGGTCGACACCAGTGGTCGGCTCGTCGAGCAGTAGGACGAGGGGACGGCCTATGAGTGCGACGGCCAGCGATAGTTTGCGACGATTGCCGCCGCTATAAGTCGTAACCCTTTTGTCGAGAATTGCTTTCAATTCAAACAAAACACATATATTTGAGACAAACTTTTCTAAGGCTTTCCGCTCAACACCTCTGATGCGGCCGAAGAAGACCAGTGTTTGACGGCCTGTCAGTCCATCCAAAAGGGCGTCATTTTGTGGACAATAACCCACTCGTGAGTAGAATTGTCTTTTATTTGTCAGTAGGTCTGCGTCTGAGCCCAGGTATGCGTTACCGGAGTCTGCGTTGAGATCACCGGTCAGTAGTCGAAAGGTTGTCGTCTTTCCGCTGCCATTAGTTCCCAATAATCCGAAACATTCCTCTTTGTTCACCACAAATGAGATCTCATTAGGAATTGTAGTGTTTTTGTTGAGACTTTTGCTCAGTTTGTCGACAATCAGTGAAACGCTTTCAAAGTTTTCACTTCTTATGAGTTGTGAAACCGTTTCGTATTCTTGTCGTACGTCTGGCGGACTGTCTCTCACTTCCGGCAATTCAATCGCATTCTTATTATTATCACAGCTTTTGCCACAAAATCTCTTAAATAATTCACACATTTTTCTATAATATTTAGTTTCTATTGTAATCACAATAACTATGTATAGAAATCCGTAAATAATGAACCGGCTCATATATTTAAACAGATAATCAAATGGATTTTTGTAATCATAACAGACTTTACCAACATATACATAAGCCTGCTGTACAAACCGTTTATCATAAGATATTTGTGTTGAATTGCATTTTGGTAGACAGCACCGAGGTCCAGTATAGTAGTATTTGTCATTTGTCATAACTGGACAATATGTTTTTTCAGGGTCTATTTCATTCAATTTTTGGCACAAACTATTCTCAATGAGAATCATATTTAAATAGTCTATACACTCGGAAAATAATGTATTAGGCGCTATAAATGATGTTATTTCAAGTAATAGGTGTCTTAACGATAATGGTAATGACCAGGTATATTTCTCCTTAAACCTGTCGGTTAAAACTATATGTATTAATAGGCAAACAGTGCCACCGATTATATTATATAACGTAATGAACGTAAAGCCTGTCGACGCCTTTGTGAACATAAATGACACCAAATATGCGAACGGAATGAATGCCATTCCGTATGACATGAACGCCAGGTATAGGGATATCACAGAATATTCTGTTGCCATGAAATAGGAGTTTGTGTCCGA